ACATAGCAGGAACTTGGTTCTGGCCTAAGCAGCGCTGGAACAACTGAGCTAAAGCTCTTGCCATTTGGCTTGCTGCTGCTTCCAGCGCCTCTGTACGAATGGTATCGACCCCCGGCGAGCTGTGTTTGCGTAGAAACGTTAGCTTTTACAATACAGCCTTCGCGGTTAAAGTGAAGTGGGTAAGTCCTAGCGGAGAGACGACAAATGTTGGAAGATCGCTTGGTGGTGGAGACCCTCTGAAAGGTGGGGGCATATTGCACATGCAGTGCATTTGCTGCTTCCACAGCCGTTGTTGTTGGGCCATCGGCCGTCCTTAGTGGAAGAGATCCTTGTTTCAACTTTCGTAGGCTAATGACGTGCTTGTACAGCAGTTTGTGCTTAGCACTGAGGGTTTTCGTGATGTTCTGTTGATAGGCGGCTTTGTCTTCTCTAAGCACTTGCGTGCAGTGGTTACGTTGAGCTACGTACTTGATGACGCCGCCACCAAGATTTCTTTGCTCACCTGGGAGATTGGACCTGAGTGTGTGTTATCCAATAATGTTTATGACTCCATCTACAATATTGGGTTGCAACCAACTGTCTCATTCCGTAATAATATCTGCGTTTGTGTATTACTTTTGCTCCGTCAGGGCTGTGAGGTCAGAGATTTTTCCTGACGATGAACGCACATTGTTGGAGAGGATGAGTGGTATTTGAAACTTGACCAAAACACATCATCAGAGGCCAACTTTCCAACCTGCTCGATGTTTTCTCATGTTGTCAAAATATTTCCTCACAGCCCGTTTGAAAGCGTTTCTGGCTTTATGACCGTAGTTGACAAAAAGCTTTTTATGTGTAGCACTTCGAAATGATTTTAAAATAACGACTGAATAAGGTAAAATTGGTTGATTATAACAACAAAAGTTATAGGTCCGCAGTAAATAATGTTAACTGATCGTTGTCAAAATCTGAAACAACAACGGCTTATATGAAGACCCCGAGCAATAGTTAGCACGAACTAATGTTGTTTTCAAGTGTTGAGAAGCGATGGCAGTTGATTGAAGCAAATGGTAAGAGCAAATCAAGAGCGCGGCTGCTCAGATGCATGAAAAAACAGTGTTACAAGCGGAAAAGAAAAGTCGGGTACCGAAGCGACGAACGCCGATGTAGCCTAGTCCATCGACATCAAGCGCATGATGTTCAAGCACATGAGGTCACCAGTGCTTCAATCAAATGCGCGTGGTATGCCTCCAGCATAGCACGCCCGGTCAACATCGAAGAGTGGACGAGTCGGCTGAATAGATATGCATCAGCAGTGCAGAGTTTGTAAACGCACCGCTTCCGATTCATTTTACTAACCCAGAGCAATTATGTGATCATTGTGGTACGAGTGCTATATCATAGCTGCAGTTTGGTCTGTACATATGCATGCTTGTTGAGTTTCATGCATTTCATGTGTTGGCTGTTGATTGATACGCTCCATTTGGCTGCGCTTGGTGTGAATCTTGACAATGTGCCTACTTGTCATAAAACCGCTACCTCGATTATACTGGATCCAGGAGAAAGTTTGTCGTTACTGGGAGGGAGACGGAGTGCACGGTCCTCATGACCGTACCAGGCTCAAGCAGTTTTTCCCTCCAAGTGTGAACCGACCTGGGGCCCAGTCACCACCCTGTGTACGTCTGGTGCTCATGACTCCCCAATTGGACTGCCTGGAAAGTTGCAGCTGTGCATGCTGGAGGAGTGTGCGCCGGCTCCGTTAATGAAACATGGCTCCCATCCACATGCATTTTGGTCTTATTCCTTCGGGTCTATACTAGATATGGGGTTTGTAGATGGAGCTATGAGTGGGGCAGCGCAAGCCACCCATGGTTCTTCTGTAGGCGCAGGCGTCCTGTGGCTGTCCTATGGAGGTTACAGTGAAAGGCAACTCCGGAATCATATAGAGCCAGACATATGCAATACTCTACCGATATACAGCAAGAAGAGTGCGCTAAACATACTAAGGCGAGTACCAACGAATGACTCGATCCACGAAATATGGCCCGGAAGAATATAAATGACGAGTCGATGATCAAGCGCAATCCAAGGTTCCTACAGCAAGTACAAATAATGCTACTTAGGTACATGATGTGTGACAGTTTCATCACTGTTTTAGCCTACAACTTGATCTTGCCCCCATAGTTATACGCTGCGGCAAGTCATTGTCCACCCTCACTTCCCACTCAAAGTATGTTCCTCTCCTCCCACTTGCCAACACGCTCCTCCTCAATGCCTTCATATTTTACCTATATTGGTTAATTATCTGTGGCAGCATTCTTCGGAGTTTACATTGGAACCCTAGGCCTGCTGCGTCATACGCCCATCCCTGCATTTTACAGTGCAGTTCAACTAAACGACTACGGTTCAGACAATAAAGGTTGGTTGCCGATACTAGGATCAACAGGATGATTATGAATTCCCAAGTCCTCCATGTAACTGGAATTGTGAATTTCTTATTCAGTGGTGTAACATTGTTACTCTCTATTCGGAAGTAGTATCCGTTTGATTGTTGGTTGCATTTACTTACTGCCCGGCGTTACCAAGGCCAAAATAAACAAATTGACAGATTGTTCGAATGGGCATCTGAAGTGTCGTTCTGTCAAAAGTTATAGGTGGCGACCTCAACATGCCCGATGTTTCGTGGAAGGAAAGAAAAGTACACGCTAACTATCGGATTTTTCTTTCGTCGTGGATGGACACAGCAAGTATGCTCTCCTAAAACTTTAGACTTGTAGTTCGCGTTCGGCATATCCAGGGCACAAACACAGACTCTTAGTAATCTCTCTGGAGCGATCATAAAGTTATCCAACTAACCTTCAAGGTTGCCCAAATAACGGCAACGTAACCTCACTATGCCCACCAATATCGACCAAATCTCAAATTGGACTGGAACAGATTCCGTCTCATTATTAGATCCCTTGACTGGATGGCTTTTTCCTTACAGACTGTCCAGATATCACCGCTGATGAGCGCTACCCACATCTGACCTGTTGCACTCACCTGCATGCGCCATTGCAATATAGACGCCAACCATTGCCTCGTCCTCAAAATCCCATTCCTAAAGCTATTGCAGTGCGTCCAAAACGCTTGCGCTTTAGGTTTTTCGAAAATAAATGATATATGTGTCCATACAAATCGATAAAATTCTCAAGGACGTGCAAGACCGACATGAAAGAAGGCTTTTGTCCCAAGAGGCACAAGCGCTGGCAGCTCCCAGCTGCATACACAGGTCACGTTGTGTAACAAGAGTTATATACGAAGCACAACGTCATCAAGCTATAACCATTGCCTCATCATACAGCAGTCTCACTACCGACTCCGGTGATGTCTGTGATTTTATTTGATAAACATTTCTTCTCCTCGTTTAATACAGGCGCCTGTGTTGCACCAGAAAGATTGCCTCTACTCACGAGTGAAACAAGAAATACACTTGATTTCAATCTGTATAGTATTATTAGGCAAATAGCCGCCCTAAAGCATAATTTCCACCATGGACCTGAGGAGATACCATCAGCATTACTTAAACTCGCCGGGCCCGATAATCCCCTGTTCCTGATAAATATATTCACCTTGTCAATTAAGACTGGTATATACACTACTAAGTGGAAGCCAGCCACTGTCCCACCCCGACACAATGGGGGATCAGGTCACGAGCTATCATATTACTGCCCCCTTGGCCATAGTTCTATACTGACTCGTATTATGGAAAGAATAAGCAAAGAAAGAGTCCCGAAGTTTCTTAATTCACAAAATCCGATCAACAGAACGCAAAATGCATTCATGTTCCATTGACAGTGTTCGGTTGGATTTTAGTGGCAAGTTCAGTGATCTGATTAAATCTCCGTCGGTCAACAAGCCCCTCCGCTCTGCAAGAACAAAAGCAATTATTCGCAGTAGAACTCAAAAACCCATGACAGTAAGAGACGCTGCGTGGCAGGTGTAGAGAGTGAACCCTAGCACTGACAGCTGGAGTAATTATGTTGTACCTCGTATTCACTGTACAACATATGTGCGCAAGGACAAATGAGTACCCCACCAGTGTCTAGTGGAAAAGTCCTGTGCTAACAGAAAGCTTCTGTACAAACATGTGAACAGCCTCCGGAATGTGAAACGGGGTGTACTCCACTAATATCTGCGAATGGATGTGCTCAAACCCCTGAGGATGCTGCCAACCTTCTCCAGCTAAAATATACATTTGTAACATATTGGTCCCCTTCTCCCAGATGCCAGTTTTTAAACACGGCACGTTTAGTTCAGCGATTGTTTTGAGGAAGCTTCTCTCGTTGCGCACCCATAGTTCCCCCGGAGTTGACAATATTCCCCGAAAGCACTGCAGTGGCAGCTACAAGGACAGCTGAACAATTAACGAGATTTTTTGCCTGGATGAACAGCAGGTCCCTAACATGTGAAAGTAAGGCATCATTACCCCGATTTTAAAAGTGGTAACCGATCAGAGCCTGCCAACTATCGCTCAGTGACTCTCCTCCCGGTACTCTCTAAGCTTGTGGAATCGATCATAGCTGAGGTTGTAATGGGTTACTTCAAAAGGTCTAACATTATAGTACCGGAGCAACACAGATTCCGTCAGCATCGGTCATGTACTACCAACCTACTGCTTGCCCGTGGCAGTTGGACCAAGATGGCCGATAGTGGGACCGGCATTGATGTCATCTACCTAGACTTCATTAGGCACGTCATCTGTACCACATCTATGCTTTTAAGCTTCATTGTTTCTGGTTAGACCAAGCGAGTAATATGCGGATTTCCGATCAACTGTCTCTCGTTTTCACGAGTTGGGCTCTAAATGACGTTGAAGTACTTTATTGTTTAAGCTAATATATCTTATGCGTTGTGTATATTCTATTAACTTTGCTGAACTCAATCTGCTTTTCCTGTAGTCCGCAAATCTTCTGTATGATTATCAGATCAAATGACAAGTGTCACATGTGATTTTGAGGGAAAGTTGCAATGCGTATTGTACATTGTGAAAGGCAACCAGGGTGTATTTGATATCACATGATGGTGTTGGCACGCTATGGAACGGAAATAAAGTAAGCATAAGATCGTCAAAGGTGATCTATGGGGTGCCCTACATATATAGAAAGTTCCAAAATGTGGGGTTTACGACAGGGGTGTGTAACTGCTAGGTAGAAAAATGCGTTGAATCAAACACTGACGAAACCGTTAACGAGCTCATAGGTTAATCCCAAGGCAGTTGAGATAGATCCTCCCCACATGATGCGAGGCATGAGTGGCGTGTCATTGTATCGAGCTTGGAAATATGGGACATTGCAAATAGTATGCCTAATAGAAGAGAATGAGAAAAAATGAAGTTTGGTTCTTCTAAGCCTCCATGTTCAAGGGGCATTCGTGTTGAGCATCGTTCAAGATCCGACTTACATAGGACGCCGTATGGATTCTGTAAAGAATAAACAGAAAGGGTATAAGTACTTGCATTACTGAACCACCCCAGACAAGTCCGTATAGAACTTAACGGAACCACTGCGCATTAATGTGAAGTCACCTAAGAGAATTCAGCTGCTCGGGCACGAGCCATGACTAGTTGATGATTGATTTGTCCAATCTGTGAAGATGATAGGTGCAGACTGCTTAACCTTCTCAGTAACTTGGGACGATGTCCCACTCGATGGCCTCTCGGAAGATTTTACATGAGTGAAATTTGATAAAAACTTTAGTTGTTTCGTTAGTTTTGTCATAATGGAACAGTGGTTTTTCCAGGAATAAGGGCTGAAGCTTAAAGTCTCGTAGGATGGTTTTGGTGAGAACCAAATATACAAAAATAAAGGTTGTCGACAAGATAGACTGGCGTGATATTCACATAGGCACAAGCGTAAATCCATGGTTTACGCGGGGGCATCTTAGCCCAGTGCATGTTTGCGTCCTGTCTTTTCGCGATGGACGCGGACTATATAAACTAATACAGATGGCATGATACATCGCCAAACCGCTTTTAAAAACGGACTATGTAGGTGCCAAAATGACGAAAACCGAAATAGCGTTCAACTGCTGACGAATTCAGAGGGGAGAAAATCCGACACCATTCAAACCGATCGTATTCCACTACACAATTCAGCCAATTCCCTCACAGGTTGGGAGATTGGATGACTTACAGGATGTAGTCTCTCAAAACCAAGTAGGTATTATGGAGTCGCTCCAAAGACACTTTCAACCCTACACCCTTTGGCTTTCAGTACACAATGCTGTGGTAAAAAGAATAAGTTCACTAACATTCCTAGTTGCCCCTGGCTGTTGGAATTGCAAGTACAACAATGTAGCGCTTCTTACAGGTCTACGAGATCTTGATGGCGTACTCCACACTGGGTTCTAAGTGCACCTTGGGTATTTTCGGAAAGCTAGAGATGTCACAGCACCCTAATACGATTTACAGGAGGTCTCCTGTTGCTTCACAGCTCAGAGAATATTTTGAATCGCTGGCCTAGATAAAACCCTCTTGATAGATTGTAAGAGTCGATCTCCTAGCGTATTTGCGTTATTCAGCATATATCCAATTACTGTGCATGCACTTCTATGCGAATGCATAGTCAGTTGAGCAACACTCCAGCTTAACGACCAGGCCCCATAAAACCACGAGTTTGAGGTTTACCTCCCTACCCGGTCTACGTGACAGAGGCACTGATGGGTGAATTGGATTGTAAGATAGTATCACTAGTATTTCCAACACAAATGCTGTACCTTGATGTTGCTAGTACTGAGAATGGGCAAACTTAACGGCGCCGATCTTGAATGCGGCACCGATGAACTTTCGGAACACAGCCGTGAATAGCCTGACATCTGCCGGCCCCATAATTCTGGGGTGGGTAATGAGCTGCGGATGAATTCGTTATGCGCTTTATCTCACCACTCTACACACAGGTTGCTGATTGTGCATACAGGTAATTGGTGAGTATACTTTCCAGCACTCCTGACCAAAATTGACATTTGCAGCCTCAACGTACGCGAAAGCCATCCCTACCTGGAGCCTATGGTTGGATTGCGTAGAGGTGAGCACTTTCGACGTTCCATTACAAATGACAGTACACACGCCCTAACTTCACCTGGGACAGCAAGAGTGAAAGTGTGGCCCAAGTTGGACAATGCTTTAACGTGCATCGCCACGCAGATTTTATTAGTAACCGAGCCACAATATTTAGTGATGCAGGCAAGATCTGCAGTTCTGCAACTATCATATGATCTGCGCTATCGCTAAGTTATCGCGTCTAGCACAACTGTCTTGAGGTGATGACCAACGAGTTCGAATCTGACTCAACGACTGCTGTCGCGTGCTACAACGTGGGTAGCGCAAATAGGGCATATTAGCACTGTGATGGCAAAGGAGAGTGAATCGATGTTCAGTTAAACAACTAATAATTGTGCAGTAAGATTCCTCGACTAGTTTCATCGATCGCAAGTGACTGCCGCTGTGCGCACAGAAGAAGTTAGTGGAAATGAATCCGCTTTCGTCGCGCAGAACATTCCAACCGACTAGCAATAGACCAGTAATCGAGCTCACGTGAGCTTGTCCCTCGCGTGCCTATCTGCAGGTGGGTGACTGGTGAGAAGGTACGTGGTGACAACCTAAGCTCACGGCGCACGTCACCAGATCCCCTGTTCGAAGGTAAGTAAAACGGAGTAAACGAGCAATTGTAAAATTAGTGGAAAAACTGTGGTGTGACGGTCAAAAGAAAAATCACAGTTAGTATCAAGGGAATAGGGGCATGAATGCCATCGGCTGGGGACGGTTCTACGGATGGCATTTGGTTAATGACAATATTGTTGTCATCAGTTTCTTAATTTTACTAGCCTCTTACACCAGTTGCTTACTATATATCCGTTTGAGATCAACTGTGTAAAGCGTGAACATGTGCCTGTTTTATGTTATCTTGCTATAAACATTGATCAGACCACCTAGTTGGACTGTGCCTCGCACCGTCAGTGAACATACTGCTTATTTAGTTATTTACTTAAGAATGCCTCCAACCATCAATTTCACCAACTGCAACGATTCCAATAGGAGTATGGTGCACACCAACCGGACTCAGCTTTTGGATTGGTTCCTTTTTGCTCTCTGATCATACAAACGGGCTGCCTATGGATCGCACTCATCAATGAGTACTATCGGTGAAAAGTACTCGCCAGGTTAAGCCATTACCGGGCGTGACCGAGCAAGCATAAAAGGCTTGAATTCAACAGACACTGCTGTGCGACCCCATAGGTTACGTGATCAAAAATCGTCCAGTACGCTTCATTATGTTCCCACCAGCCATAAGTAGTGCATTGTGGGTATTGGTAGTCAAGCATGAAAAGTGTCTTCATATCTCTAGAGTTTAGTGGTAATATATCCATGGTTCACTCAGTAACATCTACTGTAACTCAATCCTGTATATTCCAGTTGTTACAGATACACTGACATTTCACACTTTCCATAAGCAACTGAAGAAGCTCCGAAGAGCACATGAGCATTAACGATGTCTGCACCCACCGGGGGTGACTATGATGCATAGAAAAGTAATCCGATCAACTTTTATTGGATGACAGGTAGTAGGACGTTGACCCAATCGTGCAGCAGCACTTAGTGTTTGACGATGCAAAGCATGCATCAAAATGTGAAACTATGCACCGGCCTATTCAGCGGGTTCTCCTCAGGGTATGGAGAAACTTAAAGTCAAATTGGTTAGCAGAAATTGTATTATAGAAGAAGCAACCACGAGGGAAAAAGTATATTCCATCTCACCAAAAGGTGAACTGAGCACGGAGCAGGGGTAAAGAAACTCAGTGGGTCAGGATCAAATTTGTCTTCTGATACATCCTTTTGCGGTCAGGTTGCGGTTTCGAATTCTTGTAATAAGAATCTTCTGAAATTTCCTCTTGAAAGATAGGCAGCGGAAAGCTTGAGAGATAAACTACAGCAAACGCCGTTTCTAAGTCAAGTTGAACCGCAGTGGCAAACTCCAGTATGCATGAGACTATTCATAACTCTGAAGATGAGTGTTCATATGGTCAACGCACACACCTTCTGGGGGAACTACTAGCACAGCCGACAGTCATTCAGTTCTTTCTAGTTGACTTTATGCAGATGTGAGGATGCACATACTTTCTAAAGTATAAGATATTGAAGACAGGGGGTCTTCACTTAATTGAACCCCTCAATGCTGTTGGACAAATCCTGGAACTTTACTCTAGTTGGCATATACCTATTGTGCCAATCAAATGTTTGAAGTATCAATCCAGTGGATCCTCTTAATAAACAGCAATGATGCAGCTGTCGATTACGTTGACTACATGACTTTCCAAATATACCCTCTGTAAAGTTCAAAAGAACTTGATTTCCTGCCTCAGATGAATTATTAACTATAGACGGTTCAGTGCTCCTATTCCCACTTTTACCAGTCTTCCGAGCTAATAACATGCTTTCCGCGCTGTAGACCATTACATACTCAAACGAGGATGGTTTGTCATTCGCTTCATTTGCATTCACTTTTCTCAGGGTCACAATTTCGTCACTGCTAGTAACATTACTGTTACGTTTACCTGTTACCGCCTGCCGACCACACGTTGCAGACCTAGCCGTGAGTCCTATCCTATACACTATTCTGCTCTTTAGAACCACTGTTACAGGAACATATTACGAATGCTTCTGTCCCAACCATCTACTGCCCAGACCCTGCGTATAGTTTAGGTAATAGAAAGATTTATATAAAATTCGTGCGACACAATTCGATTTAGCGTAGTTCTTTCGCTACACCCTTCATAACTCCAGACCTTGAATGAATGGGCTCCCGCCGTTTACTAAGGCCCTGGTTCTTTCCTAGTGTTCATGAAGTTTGTGATAATCAAAAATATATGTGCAAAGCTGTATCCCAGACAACTTACATTTGTGTCCAAAGGAAAACGTATGGAAGCATCTATTCATTTAGTACCGGAGCTGACCTGTTCATCGATGATCCCGTGTCTCATGTAAAAGTTGTTCACCGGGACTCCACAGTTGGAGCTCGGACGTCAACCAGACATCCGTATCGTCCGATCCGTTGCTGACCAGCTGAGAGAACATTTTGTCTTCAGGGTTGCCTTCGTCACCCAACCCGTTGACCATCAGTGACGCGAATCCCTCATAAGCAAGATCGTCCATGGTGGGTGAAGTCAGAATTATTGGAAGGCGAGAAAAATCACTTGATTCGCGTAGGCTGGAGCAATTGGAAGTGCTTGATCCTCTGGATGAGTCTGAGAGAGCGGTCTCCGGAGTGCACAAAGATGAGCGTTCATTTTCCCATTCCCACAGAGGGCCCCAGTAGTCAAGTGCTACTGTGGCTGAATTTGCTGCAATACGCATGTCTTGTTTCTCGCTGTATGGACGGTGTTTAGATTCCTCCGTTGGAAATAACTGCAAAGGGAATAACCTCATCAAAAGAAACTCTGCAACGGCCTTAATAGCACGCCTTTGTTTATGAAAATTACACTTGTGGTACCATGTAAATGACTGTCTCGTTGCTGGATCTCTCTGAGTGTATATTACAGTAACAGAGGGCAAGTTGAAATGCAGATGCTCCGCATGTTTTACCGCATCTAGTTCTTTAGCAGCACATCTGTACCGACATACTTAAACGTCTGCATGCCCGAAGACGAGCCATAGGAACTTAGACCATCCCGGTTTTAACGGAGAGCTCTTGTGAACACACTAAGTACCAGCTAGCACGCAAACCCCCTCCATCGCGTTTAACTCTTACATTTTAAGATTCAGGACACAGTACCGAAGAGTTGGGTTAGATGTCGCTACCTTTTACAAGATGGAAATGACAGTGCTGATGTTAACACAACTATTTTACTTAACTACGTTGATAGAGCAGTTGCTTGTTCCCTTTTCACATCTGTACGTTCCCAATGGTTTACATGCAAATAGTAAAGAACTAGACTTGGAACACCTATTTGGCCAACTATAACAATTCTCACTTGCTAACATCCTTAAAGCAATCGCTTACATCCTTTGTGCAGAAGCGATCATTCTTAGTGCAGAAGCTTTCCTCCTTAATGCCAAGGCTATCATCCGATAATCATCGCACTTGCATCCACGTAGCACTGCGTGGACAGAGGCTACCAGTCAATAGAATTCGGTATAGCGTAGAGACTGAACACAGTTACGCGTAGAATACCCACGCTTTCGGAAGCGAGTAGAAAAACTGTGAGACTCGAGTGAGACTAGCGTGGTCCAACTCAACTGGACGGGAATTGAGACTTCACCAAACGGAGCTCAGCCGGTGCAGTGTGCCGCGCGCCCTCACTGAAATATGTTGGTATCTGAGACATCCATTGGAGCGTGCACAGTCCCTGAGGGAAGGGAGACGCGTGCGCACAGAGCACCGGATATAAGCCTGAAGTGTAGTCAAACCCCTTTTGCAAGTGAGCAAGCGACATGCCTGAGGCTAGGGCGCAATGATGCACGCAGAACAACAGTGCACAACGTTGGCTTGGTAGTGACATGGTGCTCCAAACAAAAGGTGCAGATAGGTTGCCTCGTTTTTGTGGGTATTCAGGCTAGTTCGGTCGGATAGTCGAAGGTACAGTGGAACCTACCGTTTGACCTCGAAGTCAAGTTGTCCCTAACATAAGGAGCGGAACGATCTCCGTCGCAGCAGAATAGATACCAAGCACTCACGTAACTTATTTTTTCTGCGAGGAAAGATCACTTTTGTGACGATTCCACAGGTTTAACTTGAATGTGGGGTAGAAAGTAATCATATTCTAAACATTTCGCCCCCTCCGAAACACACAAGTCAAATCTGATCGAGGTACACAGGACAGCTCCCGGCTGGAATGATATAATCACCAATGGAAGGATGAAGGAGGCATGTGATAGATGATATTTTGCAGTCATGCAATTTCCTTTCAAAGGATATGTCAAGTGGTGAATTATATTAATTTCCTCCTTGTTCCGCAAGTACGCAGACATGTAATATTTTGTTGCGAAGCTGTTACACAACCAGCAGCTGGTCTCGGGAAATACGGGTTATTGCGAGTCGGTGCACTCTACGGCAGGGGTCCACAAACTTTGTATCGTCGTGGACCGGTCAGCGTTTGATAATTGTACCCCGGCCTGCTAAGGGGGTTTGTTGAACGTTTACATGTTAGATTGCTTTGTGTGACTAATTTTAAAGTAATTCGGATTGCACATGCCTTGCAGATAAAATCCAGTTACACCAAAAATAGGTCTAACTTGATATAAAACGTTAACTCACTAGCACGCTAAACTACGGACAACCATGAGCGTGCTCCTCTGCAACGAGACTGCTACATCTGGGGGAAATAGTAGACAATGACGCTTGATGTGTGCTGCCTAGATCCAGTTAATTTGGTTGCTTTGTTTCCGCTGCTGACACTGCAGAAAACCCACTTCACACAGTTAGGTTGTCAGAAATGGCAATCTGCGTGTGATTCACTATGACTTTACTTGCAGAACACCGGCGCAGTTGTTTGTCACCAACGTACTATCAAAGTCGCCGTCATTTGCAATCTCAGTAGTGTGCATAACGTGGGATAGATGTGTAATAATAATGCGATAATTTCACAGCTTTTGAGTCAACAGTTTAGAACCTGACCTGCAAATCGTCGAAATCCACAATATTTAACAAATCATGCACACATTTCTGTTGTCATAATCATTATCCATCAGATTAAAAAATTTCAAATATATTGTTTTGTTACTTAGCAATTGGAATGAAAGGAATTTAGTTTTTTCCCTTACGTCCAGAAGAAGTGCAAGCATGCCAGTGTGTCCGCTATGTATTGCGTAGGAGCGCGAAATAACAAATTCACCCTGTGCGTCTGTGAATGTATACGTTTTCAGAACGTTTGTAGAATCCTGCTCCTGCTGTCAATCTGATTCACCTTTCACATCCTCAGCTGCTAAAATTGATGTGGTTGGCAGGTCCCAGTTTATTTTCGTTGTGGGACATGTTTGGAAATAGGAACCAACCAAATGGCTGTCAGCCAGTTTACATCCAAACAATTCCTCTGAGAGAGTATCCATAGCAATTGCGTTTGAAGAGGGCACAATTTGCTCATATGTCTCAGGTCAAGTTTGCATTTTTCTTTCAGAATCTATTTCTGAAGGACAAGTTAATCTCGCTTTAAAGAACAGAGATGCTTGAATTCGGCACCTCCATCCAGGTAGAAGTTATGTAGAACACGATGTGTAATAACTATACTCGTTTCATGAAATCAGTTCCGGACATATGTTTGTGGGATTCCATGATCGTTATAATATAGAGAAGCAGTTTTTGCGTAAACTTCGATTTAAGCTCCTGCAAGACATCCTGGTAGTAGGGTTGACGTAACACAGTGGTGTTGGGTGACAGGAACTGCAATTTAATATTAAGTAGGTGGAATTAGGGTGGGCAACGGCTTTGTTGACAGCAGGTATGATGTTGCGTTTTTCTGTATTTTGCTGTTAAATCTTCGGAAATAGCTGCACTCATCCATGCCTTTTTATTATCTTTGTAAACTGCCGGTAGTTTTTCATGTTGATATTTCTAAAATTCGAGTGCTGGCTGATTCCCAAATCACTGCAGCCGGTTCTCGCTCCTCAAATGTGGTAGGGCACAGCATAACAGTAATACGCGCCTTGCTTATTTTATCACCTGCGCATTTCTATCCTTTTACACAAAGCGTTTATCGGACGTCGTTTTGAATAGCAAAGCAGTTTCATGTGCATTAAAAATGTCTTGAACTCTGTAGTCGGAACATAGTTCGGGCAATTTTTCTGCCTAGTCGGATGCTGCACACATATCTGAGTCACCTCTTTCGCCCAATTGCTTACCAAACACGAGATAATCTACTGATGAAAACCTGTAGCCAACTGCTTGGCGATGTAAAGTCCGTGTTTTGCCATTCTTTTGAGGTGTAGTGCTCGTTCTTGGATCACGTGTCTAGATAATGGGATTTCCCCGTCAGTGCTGACTGGAACTATTTCCAGCAAGATGCGTTCATAGCTTCGTTACCCATTTTCCTATCACTCTTTCTTTTCACTCTTGGTGTGTGGTTCACAAAGTCATTCAAAAACGGCTTTCCTCTTTTATGTTACATTGATTTGTGTTCTTCCTACTCTGAAATTTTGTGCCAATGTTAGCGAACTGTTCCTTCTTAACATCGTCGAATCACTGATACCATTTCTTTAAGTGTGAATGCCTTTGGCTTTGCTGAAATGGAACTAGCCATTTTGTCCTTCATAAGAACGCTCAAAACGAACTATAAAAACGAACATGAATATTCAGTAAGGACGTACGTCAGCAGTACCCGCTCAGTTCTGACAATCGATTGATTACACAGTAAAAAATACACACAGAAAGCGATAGTCACAGTACTTGTGACTGTATAACGGTATCACCAATCCCAGAGTGCGCGAGGGGAGTACCACTGCTTTTGTATTGTGTAACATGGCTCTATCAGATTTGTTCATTGCACAGCTCATAGCAGCATACATGCATTAGTTACATTGGTTGAAAACCCGGAGAGGCGTGCTGCGTCACTCGACAATTCTGGTGTAGCTTCTCCATGTCCTAAGTTGTCCACCGCGCCTGTCCAGTAACCGCGAAGAATGTGCGGCACAGAAGATGATGACCGGGCATACGCAGTACGTGTCAAAGACACCGCAGCTGACGCAGCGGGTCGAGCTCCTCCAGCGAATGGCTGCCTCCACTCACGCCACGCTGTCTAGCTTCCACATTGGTTACGTGGTGCAGCGGCCACACACGGACAATCGACCGCAAGCAATGGTGCTCAAAGACAGCGAGACGGTGCAGGTCGGCGATACGAACAGTCCAAGTCTCGCAACCGTACAACAGTACAGCTCGGACCGTCGCACAATAAACCCGTCTTTTGATGGATATACCGATGTCTTGGCAGCGTCACAAGTGCTTCAGTTCAGAGCAAGCGAAAAGAGATTTTGAGATACTCCACAAAATCTGGTCTCCCATAGCTCCATTGGATGTGATGCAACTAACCAAGTAGGAAAAACACTCCGTAACCTCCAGCGTCTCATCAACAAGAGTGCATGCAGGTACATGCATCTGAAAGTTTTGGATAAGTGGTTTGCATTTGGACAAGAAAAAGTCATCCCATATTTTGACGCTTCAATCGCCAAGTGGTTGAGTGCAATTTGCACAGCTTGTGGACCGTCAACTAGCAGACGATATCATCAGCGTAGTCCAAATCAACAGCTCGGCTACCTGGGAGGAGCTAAACGCCAGCGCGTTTAGTGAATTATGCAGAGCATACTTTAGGACTGTTGTAACGCTTCTACTTTACCTCTGCTCTCTGTCCACGGACGACTGTCGTACTGCTGATAGCTGACCCTTAAGACTGCGACTGTCTGACTGATCAGTCACGCAC